ACTGTTCACATTGCAATTTGCTGCCACAAGCTATGCCATAAGTTACCTTGATATTAGCAGTGAAAGTTCTGAGGCTTTAAAAACAAAATATTTCTCCTTTACACCTGGTTTTATCTGTAGGCTGTAAAAAACATTCAGGTTGATTAGAAACAGGTTCACGTGCTGGAAATCGGGAAAGTTAAACTGTTGTGATGCAGCTGGGAAAAAGAGACAGCACGTGGACTGATGAGTCACTGATGGCAGTGGTGGTTTTTACATCACCCACCAGACTGGTGGCAGTACCTGGGTGGGTGCAGAGACCTTGTTTGGCTCCGAGGCTGAGAGCTGGGGCTGGGGCAGAGAGCTCTGTGCTTGTGGAGCTCTGGATATAGGCAAAGTGTAGGACAAGCAGGCTGCGTGCCACAGAGCTGCCTCTGTTTCAATCATCCCCTCATCCTGCCAGAAGGGGTGCAGGGAAGGCCTTCTCCCAGCTCTTGCTTCAAAAAGAAAGGGGAAGTGTAATGTCTGCTCATTAATGTATTTAGATAAGTTCATGTGATGGCTGTACCTGGTAGTAGATATCAGTTTCTCCCCTTTTTGTCTTGGAAATGTCATATGGTCTGATTTTGCTTTCATGTTCTTTGTATACAATCCTTTATGCTAAGGGTGAGACACTGGCAAGCATGCAGAATTGATGTTTTCACTTCTTCCCACATTTTCTCACTCAGATTTCCTCCTGGCAGTTTTGTCTCCAGATATTACCACCCATCTTCTAAAATAAAGGCCTCTGGGTATTTGGTATTTTGTGGATTCTCACCAGGTTTCAAAGGGAGATTATATTTACTGGGTAGGTTGTGGATAGAACGTAAAGTACGAGCGAACTTGTAATGTTATGGCAGATCGTGCAGCTGTGACTATCACAAGCAGTCCGTGTCCTCAAGAGCCAAATGAAAACACAGTCTCTAAATACATCTGATTGACTTTTCTCTAGTTAAGCCAGGAGAAAATCCTCAAAATTATGAACATGGTGAAAAATAAAGAAGTGAGCATTGAAGGAGCTTTGCATTTGGCACAGAAAGAAATGTACACCGATAAGGTAAGGTCACTCTTTGATTTATTCTGCAAGCCATTCTAATGTACAAGCATGTTCTGGAAAGCCTGGTTAAGAAAATGTTAGAATGTTAGGAGCATGTCTGTCCTGCTTTCAAAGCTTTAGTCTCCCTTTGTGCAAACACTCAGCTGATGACCAAATGTGTCTGGCTAAAATCTGCTGCCGCACTCAGGTTAGCTGTGTTCTATCCCATGGATGTCTCGTGTAGGTGCTGTGGTTACATTCATGTCATTACCTGGATGAAGTAGTTTGAATCTACACCAGATTTGTCCACAGGAGCTTTACTATCCTCTGAATAATACTTCTGTACATTAATAAATCAGCCTTCTGTTTCTCTAATTATTCTCAGTCCAGTATCTCTCTGGTTGCAATCTCTCTCCATCATCACACCACAGAAGGGTCAGCTGAGAACTTTGCAGAGCTTTTCATTATTTCCTTTTCTAGCCTGGGTTTCTGAACCACCCTCCTATGGGATCATCTCCTGCAAGGAGTGAAATCTTAGGATTTTTTTTTGCACGGTAGAAACTAGTGGTGATTTTGAGATAAATCTGGTGATTTGGGGAATTTTTGGAGATCTCTAAACTGCTCTTTAACTTCTTGGCTTGACAGAAGTAGAAGGAGAAGCAAAAACAAATACAGATAAAGAAGTGGCATATGCTTTTATAAAAAGGCAACAAAAACGTTAAGCTCAGTGGTGTAGAACTATGTGGGCATATCTTCTCAGAATAAGAAGAGGAAGGGTTCCTTTTCTATGTCTGCTGCTTTGATGTTTTTGTGATGATTAATTATAAGAAATGAACGCAATTTTGTGTGTCTGACTCATGACCTTCTTGTCATTGTATTTTCCTGAAGATTAGAGTAGTAGTCCCCATCCAAGCAAACCATATGGCTAGTGCAAGAGATCAGATAACAAATTAGGTAACCCTCACACAATAACAAGGAACAAAGATCTGCCATTTCAGTGCACTACATTTGAGGGCATGTAAATAAGTTTCTTTAAATCACAGACTGCCTTAATTTGCTACTGCATCCAATAAATGGCTCATAGTCATGTATTTGGAAATGTCCCCAGTGTGACTGAATGCACTCTTGTCTTCTTCATCTTCCTCTTCTCTGCTCTCTCTTTTATTTCCCACCCAAGTCTGTGATCTCTTCAGTAGTTCAGCAGGAGCTGTGGCTGTTTGTGTTTGTGAACTCAGACCAGGAGGATGCTCCATCAGTCTCCACATGGAGCACTTCTACAAAGCCTGGTTTGAGCAGTGCTCACTTGAGGGAGATTTCACCTGACAACATGACTGTATTTGAGTGGACAAAAATAATAGAGTATGGACCTCGTGCTGATTTCTGTTCTGTTTTTTCAGGACTCACAGGATTTGCTAACTGGCTCACTGTTTAACTACAGCATCTACAAATACAAACACTATCGGTGGCAGAAACGAATTTTGCAGGTAATGCAAATAATTCATACTTCTGAAGAAATATCTCCAAAAGAGATGTCGTCCATCTTATGTTCCTGCACAGGGCCTCTGCAGGTGGGAACTGGAGGGGGTTCATCGACTTCAGTGCAGTCATCCACTGAGCTTCATTCCAGTTGAAGATGCAAAGCATTGTGTAAAGGATTTAATTTTAAAATAGCACTTAATTTGGTGTAGATATTTGCTGATACAGATTGCATAGTACTTCACAAATTACACCCTTCTCTTCTAGCAGGGCTATGTGACAAAACTAACAAAAGGAGGATCTTCGGTCTGTACTTAAAAGTTCTGATAGTGGTTTTAAGGAAACATGCAGTTTTGATCCTAAATCTGTACCTCTCTGGTGTATGAAGAGAGGACTGCAGTTTTCAGAGCTGACAAGCTGGGCTGTGTGGGGAGTGCTGCATTCCCTGGTCCGGCTGTTTGCTCAAAAGCAAACACAGTGGAAAGGTAAATACCTTATTGACTGACTCTGCTCACAGGATTTTTTTGGTTTTACTGTGTTGATGACTATCTTTCCACGGTTCTGACAAGCAGACTTTCTGTTTTATTGCTTCACTGAGGCTGTGTGAAGCATGGTAAAACATTTTTACAGGGAAGGTTTCATTTGGCAGACTGTGCATTTCATCTCTCGTTACTCTGTCCTGTGAGCTCCTTTCTTCTTCTTTTTTTTTTTTGACATTATGTACCTTCATATGAACGTGCTAAATGGTGTTTTTTCTTTACTACATCTCAGCTCTGAAAGCATAATGTTATTTCTTGCAATATCCACAAATGTTTAGAGTTAAAAGATGACTTGGTTAGACACAAAGCTGATGGAAAACTGGAGAAAGCTGTCATAGCCATGGAGAGTGTCATTTTGGAAACTCGGAGTAGTTTAATTGCAGTCCTTTAGTTACCAGCAGCCTTCAAAAGTCAGAGAAAACAACGAGCGTGGTGCTGCTTTGGAGGTTTCTAATGATAAGCAGAAATGAGGACAGGGCACTAGCATTGGGTTAGCATGGTCTGCACGATGTGAATGAAAGACACTGGAAACTATTCATGACCACAGGTAAATGTCTAATTTGGGCAAGATCCGAATTTGTCCCCTGTGAGCCACATGTGCTGATGCAAAGCTCAGAGATAATGTTCACATCTTACTGATGCATGGAGCTGTTTCTGCTCAGCAGGGACGAGCACACAGAAAAGATACTGGGATCTGTATCAATAAAACTGTGCAGTGGAGCAATGATAATCTTATTTTGGAACAACCAATTTTTAATTATCATAGCTGTGGCAGCAAAAACAAAACAAAAACTTTATTGGCTAATAATATTGTTCCAACTCTGTATGCATCTGTATGTCTGTACAGAAGCACAGGCAAAAATCTTGTTAGATCAGATCTCTAAACAATAATGTTTGTGTCAGAAGGTAATCTCCAAAGAGTGCCCTCTTTTCCTGACACAGAAGCTGTCGTTACAAAAATAAGCACCTTCACATCACTGAATGGGGCAGTAAGTGAGTCTCTGCTGAGATGCTGCTGATCGGGAAGCTTTTGCACTGGGGTTAATAAGGCAGGGAGAATTTAAAAATAAATATTTCATAGTGATAAATTGATGTATATTCATCAAATGAAATAGGGAAACACAGTTACAGTGAGTATCTGTTTTGTGAATACAACAAATACAGTACATTATCTCGGTGAGGCAATGCCATTTTTTATTCTAATCATTGGCAAAATGGATATGCATGCTGGGCTACTCCATGGCTTGCATGCCCTTGTGTGATAATACTTGGGATGATCTCTTCCCTTTCCAGTGTAGAGAAGCAATGGAATCAAGTAATGACAACTTTCTATTCCAGATTGATTTCAACACAAAGACAATTTTTAACATTGAAAAAGGAATTATTAAGAAGCAGTTCCCTTTCTCACAAGTCAAATCCTGTGAGGATGCTGAAAGAAGACGTTTCAGCATTGTGTTTCATGGGAGACAAGACTACGAGCTGGAAGCAGTGTCTCTTGATGACAAAAGGAAGGTAAGGTTTTTACACTGCCAGAGATAGATTGCTATAAATAACAGCTAATATTATGCTAGCACCTGGCAGGATCCAGACATTAATGGGAATTGTGTTGTGCATTGTGCAATCAAAGATGTAGCGTGTCTTTATTCTATAGAGGGTGGTACATAGAACAAAGGAGATGTGAGTTCAGGATAAAGTTTGGCCATTGAAACTGCAGATGTACAGCCAGCCCAGGGTGCGGGATGAAAACAGATGCATTTTTTCAATGCTTTGGCTGCAGTGGGTTTGAGACTGCAGTAAATCAAGGAAACAGAACTGATGCCATACACAGTTGAATTTTAATTGATGTTTTCTGAAAAGTTTCACTTTGAGGTTTCAACTCCTTCAAATGTTCCAAATAATTTGTGTCATTAAGCTAAATTGAGACTGGAGAAAACAAAGGGGTGAAATGAACACCCATCTTCTGCACAAGTGCAGGTGCTGCCTGTGCTTGGGGGTGGGCAACTCTTGGAGCTCATCTCATCCCGCTGCTGAAGCACTGAAGTCAGCTGCACGGTTCTGGTCAGGACTCTTAAATACATGGAAGAGTTTGTGCCCAAACTGCTGATGTAACCCACTTGTAAGAAGCTTTTTGCTGAGGGGTTTGTCCTTTGGGAAGCTCAGAGCTCACAACACAGGCAGGAACTTGCATTCTAGATGAATGGCACCTTGTGGTTGATCAGACTGATTTTCAAAATAGATTAAATCTAGCAGAAGGACTTTAAAAAGTGCACTTGTTCCATAGCAATGGCACTCAGATAAGGCACTGTATAACCAGAGTGCTTTAAATTCATACTCACCTTTATCCATGCAACTTACAGACATAGGCATGCTTTCACTTTTCTGCTGGGTTCATTCCAGATTTCACAGTAAATCAGTCAGGTACTCCTTGGGCTGGCACTTAATAGAGCTTAACAGTCTAGATTGCCTTAGATTGCTTTGTACACAAATTCAAGAAGTAAAACTGTGTTTCACAGTAGCCTCTTCAGAGCAAGGTGCATTCTCCTTGCACTGATAGGGCTGAGGGCATAACAACGACTTGCAGTTAAGCAGTTCAGCATCATAGAAAGGCCTATTTATTCTACGTAAATGAATTTTGCCTATTTAGGTGCTTGTTACAGTGCTGTCTATCATTTTTATAGTAGAAAAACCCACCTGCTGATGTCTGATTCGAGGGGGTTAATATGGAAAGTACACTCTCTCTGCCTCCTGTTCTATAGATAATGTACCTGTTGAGCAGAGTGATGCAGAGTAACTCATGCAGGAGGCCAGGAGAGCCCTGCTTGGAGAGAGCTGCAGAATGTGACGTGGTGCATGAAGGAGTGCTGGATTTGCAGCAGAACGCCTTTATGTCCACTGAATGGGTGAAGTATGAACCGTACCTTCTTCTGAGCCACCTTCTAAAACAGTTGCTCTGTTTGTCCGTGGGCTGACATGGCTCACACTATCAAGTGAGAGGAGAAAAAAAGCACACCTAGAAAAAAAAACTAATGAAAAAAAAATTGACCTTGTAATCATCTGCACGGGGCAATTATTGCAAAAAAAAACTTCACATGTAATGATTTAATTGTTTTTAAAAGGCTACTGCTGTACGTCTTGTGTGCACTGCCCCCAAGTGCGTCACGGGATTTGGCACCTTTCAGCATTTAGTAAGTTCATTAACAAAGGAAAATTGCTTTTTATTTATCTCGTGAAGCAAAGCCCTTGTTGCTTTCCGCTTGGTATTTATCCTCTCTTTTTTTTGGCAAAATAAATAATGGTGGAAACATTTGGAGACGCGTTTGAACTTTAAGTCCCTGCTTCCAAGAAAGGAGAGGTTGATATAATGGCCAGCTCTGTTAACAGTTCATATCACTTTGACTGTTTATGTGGGAGTAGATGCAATTCATATTTTATGTTTAATTGTTCTGGTGCTGCAAAACCCATTTAAATTCCTCATATAAACCTTAACCAACTGGCCACACCTTAGAGAGGGTGGAGAGAAAGGAAGGCTGATGGAACTGCCAGAATGATAAAGAAAACCTCGGTAAACCCCAGGAAAAAAGAGAATGCAAATTCTGAAATAAGAATAAAATACATATATGGTAAAGCCCCACACTTAGTGAGTGTGAGGCCTTTGCCATAAACAGCAGAGCTGAACCTTAAAAGAGACCAAAGCAGGAGATTCTGCTGCAAATGAAACTGCGTATGGTCTGGGAACTTCTGCAGGGAATAATTTAGCATTAGGACAGGTAATGCCCACTCTTGGGCACTGTCACTTCTGATGGAAACCCTTCAGTGGAGAGCATTGTGCCTGCTTTCTACTCAGTGAGACGTGGGAATGAGGGAGAGCAGGATCAGTTCTTCATGGAGAAATAATGATAGAAAAATGTGGAGGCTTACTGACAGTAGGAAGGGCCTTAACAGAGACAATGATTGTGCAAATAAGTAGACAGCACCAAATGAACTGTATATTCATTCCCTGCCCTTCAGGTACTTGGTACAACTACGTGAAGGAGAACTGACTTTATATTGCATAGGTCTGGGAGCAGAGAGCAAGAATGCAAGCCCTGCAATGAGCACAATTCCTTTGTCAGGTGGTAACGTGAGTGTCAGCAAGGAGAATGAATGCGGTACCTTTTCGGTCCAGACCAAAGGACACAATTATTTGTAAGTATAGTTGGTAATTAATACTTTGATAAAGCAGAACAATTGAAAACAATGTCAGGCAACAGAGAATCTCGGTGCCTTGGAACAAAATACAGCAGGGAAAAATAAGACCATCAGATTTTTATAGGTAACTCCTCCCATAGCCCTGTAGTGGTTTGACAAATATTTTAACGAGGAATCACGAATACTACATCGTAGAATTGAGAAGATGCATTGAAACAGTGTCCACAGACTCATTTAGTCATCCTGGCAGGAGCCAGTAAGGAAGCACACTGATTGATTGATTAGACAGATGTGTGAGCAGGTTCTGACCAGCTTGTGCATTAAGCTTGGTAAGACCCAGCACACTGCTCACCTTCCCCCGAGGTGGAGAAGAGCAATTATGAGGTAACTGCAGCACAAAGTCAACGTATAGCAGAACTTCAGCTCTGTAACCTTAGGCATGTAAGCAATTAATTCTGTCTGAAAAGGTCAGAGTCAGCAGCACTGGGCTCCTTTGGCAAGTGAAGGTGCTGAACATCATTCTGCTTAAGAAATATCTGTGGCTGTATTAGTCAGCATGTTATTTACCCTTACGCATGTTTACATAAGGCATTCTTCAATTTCAGGTTTCGAATACCCTTAACTGTCCAAAATTACAGGACAGAGGATGTTAGCAAGCTCCAGAATGAATGGGTGTCTCTCATAGAAAAGTACTGTCAGCTGGGCAAGGGTGGCTTTCTGTCCCAGGAGGAATCTGAAGGAGACACCTCGTCTGAAGCTGATTATGAGAACGTTACTGTAGCTCTGACTGAACAGAAAGAGGAGGCCCTCCATTTCGATGTGAGCGCTGTAAAAACCAGTCTGAACAAGCTTTCAAGCTCACAGACAAAGGCTGTGAAAGGAGATGTAGCAGCACCAGCATCTACTCCAGTTCCCATAAGTAAGGCAGAGGTGCCACCAGCCCCACCTGTATTCTTCCAGTCCTGCAGCCTTTCTCCCTTGGCAAAGAGAACCAAAGCTTTTCACTGGGATGTTGTTCCTTGTGATAAGGTAAGGGTGAAACTGACAGTAACTGCTTAATAATAATAATAATAGGAGGAGAAGTAGCCTGGATTACACGTATAGTTACTGTAAAAATTCAGCCATGCCAGAAGAGGACCTGAATGCCTTTTATATGTTCGGAATGGAACAAAGTGACCCTGTTCTTCTGGCTTTTTCTTTTCCCTGTCACTCCTATGTTCTTAGATTCAAAAATCCATCTGGGGTTCTTGTGACCCATGCAAGAAAAAGATAGATGCCTCCAGACTCTGTGAGCAGTTCCAGATCCAGGACGTGGCAGTGTTTCCAGGCAATGAACCTTCAGTGAATCAGCACATCATGTTGGATCGGAAAGTTGCACATAACTTCAGTAAGTAAGAACTGTGTACTTACATGTGTATGCATTTTCTATTCATAATTTCTACCATTTGGTGGGTAAAAGAGGTAATCTTGTGTCTAAATCACCACTTAACTCAGTGCCACTCATTTGTGAGCGCAGACCTCCTGGTTCAGTTCTGTAAATGTGGTCCTTCATGATGCAGAGTAGAAATATCACATCTCTCTTCCTATGTGAAACATGTGAGTGTGCCCTCCTGCTGGGATGCTCCTGCCCAGGAGGTGTTCCTCATCATGTGTGACACCTGTGAAATCACTGTTAAAAGTGGGACTTCAGCATATAGTTCTGCTCTTGCTGATGACATGATGTAAAGTTCTTTCAGTGACTCCAATGAGAAGTAACATACTAAAGAAGCAGGGGTAGAAACACAGAATCACAGAATGATAGAATGGCTTGGATTGGAAGGGACCCCAAGGATCACTGAGTTCCAGCCCCTCTGCCACAGGCAGGGCCACCAGCCTCCAAGAACTTGGTAACTGGTCTTCAATGACTGCTTTGATTTTTGCAGAGATGGCTTTCAAAAAATAAATTATATAACATAGTGCTGTTTTAAGAAATGTTACGTGTGTAAAGAGCTCATTTGAAGTCATGATGATTTCAACTTTATGAATATTGATAGGAAGGAGTATTCTTTGGAGATTGTGGAAAGTTTTAACTGAGAACTGTAAATGGAAATAACTGGAAATGGAATTATTGCAATTACAGACTGATAATTTGAAGGATTAAAAGGAAGTGAGTGATACAAAAGTCATGTTTTAGATAAAAAGAATCCAGTAATAGCACTTCTCTCTGCAAAGTTGTTCCAGTTTCTTTTAAGAAATTTCTTTCATTTGGTTTGCAAATAGCACCATTCTTCCTTTTGATCCAACTGCTCTTACAGCTTCTTTCACTGAGACATTCTATGCCCATTTCTTAATCTTATCCTTAAAGTCTCATCAATGAGATTTTTGACACGTACTTATTTCAGTGGACAGTTCTCAGATCAAGTTATTCCTATTCTCAGAATTCTGATTAATCTTCCTGCAAGAGCTGCAAACCACAGTTCTTAAATTAATGACTAAAAAGATGAAGCTCCAAGTTGCCAGCAGGAGAAAATCTTTTGAGCATTTGAGTGGATGTCCAGACTCTAAAGAAAAATTGGAGTTCTGGGCAAAGATCTACACACTAAGTTCAAACCCGGTGTGGAAGAGAAAGCAAATAAAAGCTAAGTTATCTCACACAGAGAACAATGTACCAGAAAGAGAGAAACAAGAAAAACACCTTCCCTTTAACAAAGGAAAAGATTTGGGGAGGTGGGCATTAATCCAAAACTGAAACCTTGTGGGTGAAAGACTGACTTAGGGATCAAAACATCAGCTCCTGTGACTTGGTGGGTGCTTGTTTCTCTGTGTGAGGACCATTTTTCTGTGTCAAATCCTTATTTTGCTTAAGAAAATAATTTAAACTTAAGAAGACATGGTAATTCAGGGGAAAAAAATAAAGAAATGAGTAGAAATTGAGGAGTTTCTTAAATTTCAATTTTCAAGAAAAAATGCTGATTGCTTTTTGGAATGAAGGAAAATTTAGAACGTGGACTTGCTTCAAAAGAGGTGTGAATGCTATTAGAAGAATAGGACTTGGCTTTGGTTTAAAGGTGAACCACCATATTCAGATAAATCACTATTCATCCTGTAGGTTTTCACAAGTACTGTGGGAAAGGAGTTCAACAGCTGTAACACTGACAGATACAGGGACTCATGAATGTGAGACGAGGAAATAATGTGGAATTTGTGCCACAAATATTTTCATTAGAAATCCAGTTCTTGGCACTAATGCAAGGGAGACAAGGAGCTGAAACATCCCTGTGTGAGCTCTTCATGACAGAGAACGCTTTAATTAGCGATTAATGACTGTTGTCTCTGACTCTGATGACGAGAAATTATTCAGTGGCTCATTTCAGATACTGACAGCGTTCAGGAAAATTGAGCATGTTTCGTGGATGGTTTGTGGAAAGGCAGTAGTTATTGTAAAACTCAACCTTTTTGCTCTGGATTATTTCCTCTGTCACTGGCTGCAGATTTCATCCTACCTGAAGAGATATAGGATTGAAAAGACACAGGGAGGTGAAAGATGCAAGTCATAAAAAGCATGGGAAGGAAAAAGGGATGATTCTACCAGGCTTAGTGCTAAAGCTAGATCTTCTAACGGAGTTAAAGGGGTGGAAAGTGTGTCAGAGGAAGAATAAGAGGTGTATACTCCATTGGCCAACGCTCTCCTGAGTCGTTATTAGCTGATTCAGGCCACAGCATGTTCCTACAACCTGAAAATCTCTGTGCTCTTTTAGGATTGGAGACAGAAATGTGGTAAATCATAGACATCCCTCCTGAGTTCTCCTTCCCAACCCCCTGAGGGGGTTGTAATAATGATAATAAACATCTGAGTGCCTTCTGATAACAGTATCAACAGCTCTGTCTCAAGCATTAACTGTGTTCTGATGAATGCATTTTTGCTTGTCTACTGCCATGCGTATGTAAAGGAAATATGAAGGCTGAGTTTTACTTTAGCATTAGCAACAGCTCCTTGTTTTTATTCTTAAATCTGAAAAGTAAATGTGAAATATTTGGGGGATTTTTCCTTCCCTGGAGCATTTTCTTCCATGTAATACGAGGATCTTTTTTTTCCCCAGGCATTTTTCTTAAAAGTTTCCGTATAAAACCATGTGAGCTGAAAGAAAAGCTGTACATTATACATGAAGAGAGTGGTGGACTTACAGATGAACAGATTACGACGCTACGAAGGTGATCTTTTGGTTTCAGTTGTTTATTTACAACAAATGCTACGTTTTGGAGAAAGCGATTTTTTCTGCAAATAACAGGAAATTCAGGAAAGATGCTATTGAGATTCAGATCTATCCTGATAGATAGATCTGATAAAATAGATAAAATAGATAGATGGACCATAGATAAAATGTGAGGGCTGCACACAGAAGGAAGCCCAACACGTGTTACAGAAGCTTCACTGTAGACTATCAGTATTTCTGAGTGATAGAGGCTTGCAGGTTTAAAGCCACAATTAAAATTAATTAAATTAAATCTTGGAAACTTTAAGTTTAAAAACCCACCACCGCCAAAATAACAATTATGCAGAAAGGAATTTGTTTCAGAGGCATGTGAAATTCGGATTGTGTCTGTTTGAAAAGTCAAGAAAGGAGCAGCTCAGAGAGGTTTCCATTGCACTTTCAAGTCCCCATGCACGGCATGTGATAGCTCTGCCATTTCATTGCATGCATTGTTATGAAAATACGAGGTGAAAATGAGAAAACTGAGTGTTTTGCTAAATGGGATCTCAGAAAAAAAAAGTATCAACTGGCAAAGAAAGTGAAGAAGTATTTTTTTTTAACTGTTGATGTGCCTACTTCGTGTGGAGAGAGTTTAGTTCTGGCCTGATCCTCATTGGTACAGCAGTGTTAAAGTTTGGAGAACTGTGTTTGCAGTTAGTGATGAGAACAAGTAGAATAAATGTGAACATATGGAGTTACATTGTGTGCAATGGCTTGGGCACAGCTTGCCTTGAACAAGCCACCCCATCACACAGCCTGCTCTTCCCTGCTCATTTTTCCAAGAAGTTATTGCTGGATAAAAGCTGATTGAGCACAGCCAAAACTGCAGAAAAGTCTGCATTGTCACCAGGTGCTTCTGAAGGGTTGTCTGATGGTGGTTCATCCAGTACATGGAAGGAAGGCACATATGTATCACACACACAATTAATGAACCTCTTTGGAAAGTTTAGCATTAATTCCCTTCTGCTACAGTTTTTCCTTCTCCAAAAGGTAAAGGTTCCTTCTCCACAGCATTGTAAATTGTCTGTAGATCTGCAGATGAACACGACTGACTTATTCTCAAGCCCTGTGCATGTATAAATGTTTCCAGAAATGCAGATCTAGCTGCAGACCATCGTTTCTGTTGCATCACTGGCTCAAATATCAATAAAGTACAAATGGTTAAAGAATAAATGCAGTGTGCAATAACAATATGCAGATGTGCAATATGTAATAAGAGGAAGTGGAAGAAGTTGTGACGCTTGGAGTGGGATGGCTGTTTGGCATTATGGCATGTTCAAGGATGAGAACTCCTGCTCTTCGTTTGCTGTTTTGCAGATACATGCTAACACCAAAGGATGCAGAGAAGTACCAGTCGTTCAGGGGGTGCCCCTCAGAGCTGCATATAGTTGATCAGTTTATGTTGGAGGTAGGAAGGCACGCTGTTAAAACACACTGCATGCTATTTCTAACACCTTCTTCTGGGTAAAATCACTACAAAGGACTGTTGTTGGGCACTTAAATTTACAGTCTTGCCAAGAATAATTAGAAGGTTTATCTGAGAAAGAGTTGAGACGGTAAAAATGTACAAAGAGATCTGTAAAATCCATTTTGTATCTCCTACTAACATGCCTTCCCCTCCCCCCAAAACAAGAACCAGTTGCTTTGAAATAGATTTCCAAAATCTCTAGACATAAAACTGTACACATTTAACTGTTCTTGCTCATGAGAAATGCGTGTCATTGACTTGAATGGTGCCTGGCCCTACAAGCCTTCTCTGTTCAATTCTGTGCAGATGTGTAAAATCCCTCACTTAGGCCAGAGGTTGGATCTCCTGCTTGCCATACGTGAACTCCCTGTGAGCATGAGAGATCTGGAGCCTGTAAGTGATGACAGCTTCATCATTCGTTACATAATCTGTCAGTTAGAAGCTTTGGTGTGCCTTTCAAAGCTGTGTGACTGGGGATCTTTTTTTTCCTCTATAGCAAGATATTTCATTGTCCATAATGTGAGCAATTAATAGCGTAGTGACCCAGGCAGCCTGATTTCATGATACTTTTCAGATATAAAGAGCAAAATGGTTAAAAAATAATAATCATAGACTTTTTAAAAGTAGATTGTATCTTTGATGGAAATAAATCCACCTCCTGTGTCTGTTGCTCCAGAAGGGAGGTGGCAGCCCTGTGAAAGCAAAAGTTGGTAGTGAATTTGATTGCAGGGAAACTGTACCAAGAATTTTGATTCATCTTCAGCTGGTGTAAACAAGAGAGAGGTGAAGGACAGAGAACCTTATGCTGTGCTTTGGGCTATCTGCTTCCCCCGATGCTTGGCATTTGGAGCAATCTGGTGCATTCAAACAGCAAAACACTTTTTCTTCTGAAGCATTTTGAGGGATGAGGTTGAAGTTCTTTTGGCAGGGCTAGTTTGGTAGCCACAGAGGATCTGACCTCCATCTCATCAGGCAACTGTGCCAACACCAGCTTTGCTTTGCTGGGGAACAGAACCTGACAGCCCCTGGCCTTTCCCAGAGGAAAGGGATGGGAAGGTAGCAGTGTGACTTGCTTCAGTTGGGGACAATGAGGCATGGCAAAGAACAATTACAGGCACCATTGTTCTACTTGCATATTTGTGTTTCAGCTAATAAACCAGAAAATCCAAGCAAGTAAGCAGCTGCATTCCAGCCAGAAATTTATTGCTGTCTTGGAGTACATTTTAGCCATTGGAAACCATTTAAATGAAAATGCAGGAAAAGAAAAGACAAAAGGATTTCGATTGTCATCTTTGACCAAAGTGAGTAAATATTTTTCTTTTCATTGAGCCATCATATTATAATGTATGTTAACCATTAGCATTACCTCAGTTTTGCCCTGCGTGCGGAGAAAGGCAATCATTTTTAATGAGCAGCTAACATTTTAACATCTGCTCTTGGTTACACCAGAAACAAACTGCTGTTTAATAATGTATTCTGTAATGTGTGCACTGTAACAAGATGCATTTTCCCATTTCAGACAGCAGTGCTGGCTGGGTGGGGGCACTGCGGTGTTGAATGTGCTGTGTTTCTAATGAGGGAGAACATCAAAATGCTGACGGCCCCGATATTGAGATCCCCTGGCTGGAAGAGACATCTGAACTGCAGGCCCTTGACTTAAAGAGTGTTTTACATCTTTGTGCAGTGCACTGTCATAGGGACCTTTCATTATCCATAGGCTGTAGCTGCAGCATTCCTTCTGCAGTGGAATAATTCCTTAGTGCTTCTTTTACTCTAATGCAAAGCTCTTCTGCAACAAGTGGGCCCATGTAATTTTAAGTTCCAAAAGTAGAGTATAAATAAATGAACAAATGCAGAGGGAGGGAACTTTGCCTGGTTTAATGGCTCTGACACCCCCCACCCCACCAGTGCTCGTCTGGATGAATGGATGGGGAGGGAGGTGGCTGCTGTGATCTTTTGTCTCTCCTGACAGAGATATGCTCCATGAACAAACATCATCTATGCCTGGTCTGTAAGTAGAAGAGAGGAGGATTTTGTTTATTTATTTATTTATATGTATGTGTATGTGTGTGTGTGTGTGTGTGTATATATATATATATATATATATATATATATATATTTTTTTTTTTTTTTTGTAAGGTATCTTTTCCATCTGGAGACTTTAATATACGAGTGAGTGAGTGATTTATAGCTCCAGTGGCAATTCTGAGACACAACCTTTTTTTTTTTTTTTTTTAATAACAGTTGTAGTACTGTATCAATCATAATGAAAAAATGCCAACGAAATCATTTTCTGCCACAGCACATCTTCCCAGATTCAATTAAGGAAGTTTACTGCCTTCACAAACACAGCACACTGCTTTTGCATGAAAAGGAATGATGACTCTGTTTGGAGGACCAAAATGAGTTGCAATCACTTAGGATACCTTAAGTTATTAAGAATGTGTGAATAAGAAAACACAAAAGAACACAATGAAGGTGAACGGATATGAAAGCAAAAAGTTTGATCTTAATCAAGAATGTCTGAGCAGCTGCAGATTGAAAAGGAGATATTTGATTTCATTGTACTTTCTATTCCTGTCAGACCTATCCAGGAGCTATCAACATCTCTGCTGCTCCTAAATTTCTTAAAGAAGTGTAACAGCTGTCTGTCAGCTACTGCTCCGTTCTGTTTGCAGTTATCCCTGCTGCGGGGCAAGGAGAGGACGTTCACTTTGCTTCATGCCCTTGTGGAACAGATCTCCTTACATGAGCCTGATCTGGTGAAATTTTCACAGGAACTGACAGAATTTGAGGCTGTTCCTGATGGTAAGAGCAGGGAGGGGAAGAAAGCCACCCAGCAATGGAATCCCTCAACTTTTGTTGGAACTTCCATCCTAAAGTACAAATGATATTTAGTGGCACGTTTTTCCATCTCTCTTCCTTTCCAGCTTCCATGAAGGGCCTCAGTGCTGAAGTTGATGGTATGTAAACGTGGTTTCTAAAATCAGAGAGAGATTTTCATACTTTGTGCAGTCGTTTGGAACAGTTTCATTGTAGTTTATAAAGAGAGGTAAATATACAAATATTGAGGTAAGGTGTTGCTATGGTGATATTTAGCCTGTCATTTTACTGTGAATTTTTAAAAAGAAATAATAAAGCATGCCCAGGTGGTTCAGAAATACAAAAATATATACTGCTCGTGGTAAATACCATTTATTTATATTTATATTTAGCAATATGAGCACTGTCCCAGTTAGATTGTCTCAGAGCAGCCAGTGCAGCAGAAGGAACCTTTGCACGGTTCAAGCACAGAAGTTCAAAAATGCCTTTGAACCAAACTGGAGTCCATCTCTAGAAAGGAGTCCTACACCACTGAAGTCAGTAGGAGAGGACAGAATAAAGTCACTCAAATGTAAGACAGGTTTTGGGAGACATTTCCAACTTTGAACAGCGCAGTAAGGTGACCGGCAGAGCCAGTGGGTTTCAGAGTGAGCTCTTTGAGAGCTGATAGAAGAGATACCTACATGGGTAAAAATAACTTACATTGTGTTAAACATTTATAAAAATCTGTCTTTTGAAAATGTGGCGTGGACATTGACCAGATGTCGTCACAGGCTAATAATTCACTTTTCAGCTTCTTGTAACATAGTTTAATGACCATCGCTCTCAGCTTTTGGTTTGAAAAACTCTTGTTCCCATTTTGTTGGGCTTGGGGAAGCAGACAGGCATCTAACTCGAGGCTATCAAAGATAGTATTTTACTTTGTTCCAAGAAATGGCAATTGACTTTTTAGGAATATGTAAGTAGCTAGACATACGTGGATACAAACACTGTTTACCTTCAGTCACTCGTGTTCTCCAGAGACCACACTGGTACAGTTGAGTAGTGCAGCAGGCATGGGAGCTGTGGTGTAAATGCTGGGAGCTGAGCTATCAAAGGAGAGGATTAGGAGACCTGGAGGAGACTGACTGGCCTCTTTCCTCCTGGATTTCTGATGGGACCACTATAGAGCACTCTCTTATCTTCCAAGTACTGTTCTCCAGAGCAGACAGGCAAAGAGACAAAATGCTTCTGATCCAGCCTTTCATGCCAGGTTGTTCAAGACATGTCCTGGGGCTCATGCATAGTGTATGTGAGCAGCCTGACTGAGTTCAGGACTGAGTCACTGCATCCAAAGCTGTGTCCTCTCCTCCCAGTCCATACAGCCAAAGCTCTCGTGATGGCAATCTGCTGTAGGACTTTCTGCCAACTGACAAGATTTCTTATTTGTTTTAAAGAGAATTTTTGTTCTTTTATCTTTAACGGAAGCCTGAATTTTCTATACAAAAAGGTAGGTTGGAAGAATGTTATTTTCACAGCTAATTCCTAAAGCCTAGGGAACATCAGATTTACAGCTGCTGCATAACCACACTGTTGACCTCTTCATTACTCTGCAGTTGCAGAGGGGTGATCACATACTATTTCTTTCCTGTAAGACCCATGCTTCCTTTAGGATTTCTATTTTAAAACAGAAATTAAATATTTCTAGATGAACATATTATATAGACCCAGAGTCTCCTACTTTTTATGTCTCTTATAAATAAGACATTTGCATTCCTTTGGACACAACTGCGCGCTCATGAAATTTCTCATTTTCTTCCTCCTTTGTTAGTTCTAAAAAAGGAATTGGAAAATGTTACTCAGTGCAGGCGTCTGATCAAACCCAGGACAACCAAGGCAACACCCCAGGAGTCACAGTTCTGCAGAGAACTAAAGGTAACATTACCCCAACCTTATCGTGGGCTGGAGATAAAAGACGAGTAACTTCCTTGGTTTGTGCTGAATCCTGCCCTGACAAATGGATTGGGAGCATCTGAGGAAAAGCAGACTTTTATTTCTATCTGATAGCGTTTGATGAGGCATGGGAATGCCTTTTGAGAGCTTCTGTATCTCTTGCTTTTGCTTCGCAGGCAAACGGGCTGGACTGGATGAGGAGCAGATAGCTTCACAGTCAGCTGCAATAAGCGCTTTGGAATAACAGCAATTTCAGAGCATGTATGGATTTGTAGCAACTCCCTCTGCCCTCAGACAGCAGGGAAAATAGCATGGAGAAACAGCATCCAGGAGCTAGACTGAATTGTGATTATAGGTTGGCCTAAGATGATTCTGCCCATGCTAATGGCAGAGCGAGGTGGGCAGGGGAGCACTGCAGAAAGCAGCTGAGGACGTGCTGCTTGCTCAGTGTGCTTCTTGAATAATACTAAGTCATCTAAAGCGTATATGTTACAAAGGAGTAGTGATTAAGAATTTTTTTTTTTTGGAAGCTTAAGGCTTTGTTTTTCACTCAGTGAGAACTGGTGAGTGGCTGCCTTGCTCACAATAAGGCTGGGCAGTGCCTACTGGGTTTTGTTTTTTGTCTTTGATGCCTTCATATTTGCAATATATGTGCTTGATGTGTGCTTATCTTCTGTGAAATGTGAAATTGTTCTGATCTGAAAATTCTGACTTAAATTCCCTTATTTTCACTATTGAATATCTGCTCTAAAATTACACTCCTTTGCCAAATTATGAAATTTTACCTTATTACAGGATTTGATTCAGAAATATGAAGGGGATCTATCCCAGCTGTCAAAAAGATGTGAAGAAATGAAGAAGCTTTATAGCAGTGTGCTGGTACGTCTCATATTAAAATGCAATGAAAGAAATCTAAATTTCTTAGGAAAAGAAGAAAAATGCAGACGTTCCCATGCTTCCATGTGCCTTGCAGTAATACTGTCCATGTTTGGAAAGAAATTGTTTTTTATTCTTGAGGATTTATAATTCACTTTCTAAAGTGTTGATTGTCCAAAAGTACATATGTAAAAAAGTGGATGTTCAGAAATTCAAGTTTTCTCCCAGCTGCTTTTTCACTCACTTCCCCTTATTTTCTGAAGGTAGGCATTTTATATATTTTCTCTCACTTTGAATGGATTTATTTCTTCCAAATAATGTTCTTGCTGGGCAGATCCTTTTGTATATTTATGAGGCAGCAAAAATGTAAAGCAAATATAAAACAGGATGGGTGATCAAAGCCCAGACCATCAGCTGAACAGCGCCAGGAAGGAACAGCCCTGCTCACCTGGGATGTGATGTGGGAACAGGCTGTATGTAGCCATGGAAATCACATTGCTCATGAAACAAAAATCCACAGGCCTACCTTTGTGATTTCATATTCTGCTTATAAAATCAATAATGACCTTGGCATGTGACACTTCTATGGAATTAACAATAAATTGGAGGTAACTGCCTGTGGAATAGCTGTGGGCTATCAACTTCTCATGGATGGTCGTTAGCTCCAGGAAATGCTTCTCTCGTTGTTGTTTAATTGATGGTACGCCATAGGTGGGTGGTGAGGTGTGCCAAGGATCAAGAACCTGGAGCCCCCAGGAGGTGCAATTAGGATCACAACAGGCCAAACCATTAATCAGGTATCGCTGGTTAATGTGCAAGTTTTTGTGGTTGGATTATATGTGAGTTTCCAAGTTCCCAGCAGAGGGTTTGCTCCCAAGAGCATCTGAGGTGTGCAGGTAATGATGGATAGCTGTCCAAACACTGTGGAAATACAACTACACTGCTGCTCAGCCTTGGGAGAGCTGTACCTCCTGGTTATCTGGTAGCTCTCTATTACAGGCAAGACAAGAGCTTGTAGCAATATAAGGTGTTGTTTTTAAACCTTCCATGGAAACCTTTGGAGCACGTTCTCTATGTCTTCTACTCAATTAGAAAACCATTTTAAATGCAGTCACGTTCTTTAACTCACTGATACCATTAAGGAGGATCTTTGGAAATGTCGACAAACCTCTTGAATTAAACCTGAGCAACAATTTTAAGACTAAAATGACTTTTCTGTCCTAGAACTGGAAAATACACGTGGAAGTGATTTTAATTAATGCAGAAATCCCTCTCCTAGCAATTAACTTTGTAGTATGATTGTCTTTCACCTCTTGTTTCTCAGTAGAGCAAACGGGACGCCAATATTCATGTTGCTTTTGAAAGTCTTCCAACCTGTTCAGCTTTTTCGGGTGAAATGAAGAGAACAGGGAAAGGTTTCTCCTTGATGGATTAACTTTTCTTCCAAAATATCCACGTAAACGTGACATTTTTTGTTTGCAAAACAAAATGCCAAAGAATTAAAGCTTTTTGGCTTAAATCTGCTGCTGTCACATCCACCATGATTCCATAGTGGATAGAAACCATTTCCCTATGTGCTTCTTTTCTTTTGTGGATGGGTTCATCTAAAAAACTGCAAAGCCAAGAACCTTGCCAATGTAGGTGTTCTCTGCTCGTTGGTGGTAGATCTGCAGTCCAGCCAGAGAAGCTGCTTTGTGCAGAGAACCAGGAAATTACAGCTCAGGTGTTTCAAATCTCAGTTTAATGGACATTTTGTCCAGCTCTAAATTTTCTGACTGATCAATAATGATAATGAGAGTATTCAGCCTTTCTCCTGCTCTGTTCATTACAATCTCGGACACGGATTAATTTATTTGGATAATACTAATGTTAAATATATTTCTCTTTTAAATTTACAGGTCAAATTTGGGGAACCACAAGACCTGGACTCTCAGGAGCTGTTTGGATGGATATCTACATTCATTAGTGAGTTTAGGAAGGCCTGTGCTGAGGTCATGCAGTAAGGACAACACTACTCATAAAAAGGGGAGAGTGAAGTGTAGGAAACTACATTTAAGTTAATTGTTTTCAGAGTTGCCCTGCCAATAAGGTGCCTATTCCATACAGTTTGTACAGCAGTATGTTTCATTTAAAGATATATTCAATTTATAATGTGTAGTTTTGCAAGTGGTCTCAGTCCTGTGGGATCATAGATCTCTTATGAGACTCACTTTTTTCTGTGTGCCCCTACAGATACCTGTACATTTAGAAAGGAGACACTCTTGATGTTTTGTAATTTTTCTTTTTATTTTTGTCTTTGACATCCAGTCTTCTGCCTGAGTTTCAGCTGTTACTTACAGAGAATAAATTTACATATGGTGATCTAATTTTTAATTATTCTTTTTCTGTAGGTTTGTTTTTTTTTTTTAAATACATTTAGCAAAAAATCTTGATTGTCTTCAGCCATTAAAGAACTGCAGCTTCAGTATTTAATGGAGAAAGAAACTGTCAGGTTCCCCACCAAGTAGTACAATAAAGCATTGCTTTTTTAGGATAAAATACTGTGGAAGCCAATCAGTGTGTGAAATTTGCATTGGTAGAAAGAGAACAATATCAGAGAGGTGAAATAAAAACATGTCATGAGGCATCTAAGTAATGCACAGTGAAAGTAATTATTGATGGTTTTCAAAAGAGAAAATACTTGTCTTGCATTTGTTGGCTTTTCCATATTTTTAATTAGAATAATTACTTGCAGCTCAAAAATACAAGGAGAAAAGGAAGGCTGTAAATGCATAAACAAAAAGGGATGTGTTGAACATGGAGAGCAGAAAATAGTTCTATAAAGCCACTGATAAAACATTGCATTTTTCTCTACCAGTTTTACGGTATTGATTGATAAAATGTGTGTTCTCCGACTTACTTTAGATCTGCCTGTCCAATTCTCACAGTATTTTGGCTTTAACAGAAAGTCTAACAGGTAGAAATGCTGAACAGTCTCTTTGGCTTCAATACTGAAAGAAATTAGAACTATCCTCTCTGAAAGGCTTGGAAGCATCTAAGCCTAAAATTGCTCTATTAGAATGTTCTCTCCAGTACCATGTGAGATTTCTCCCTATCCAGGTTCCAGATGTTATGCAGGTGTGCTGATGAGCAAAGATGCAGCTGCTCTTCCAGCTGTGTTTGGTTAAGAGGCAAACCTGGAGCCTCCTATGGATGCCAGCGGGCATGACTGCTTAATTCATCTGCTTTAAATCCACCTCTCATCCCAGGGGAATTTTTAAAAAATTGAGGAAGAAACTCAATAGACTCTCAATAGACATCCCCAAACCAACCAACCGACCAGAAAAATTAAATAAGCAAAAGGAGGGCAAATTTTGTTTTAGAGTAAACATACTTGTTTTCTACAAAGTCAGCATTGGAATAGTGACACCTGGCTGGCACTGAAGTCAGCAGTGTCTGCATATCAGGATCTATAGCATCTGTATGTGTCAGGAGCTGAAGATCACTGTTTTTTGGCTAGAAGAGGAAAATTCAGTTCCTCTTCCAGCACATGTGTACATCATAACAACCCTTGCAGTTTTTGATGTGTGTTATTCCCTCTCCAAAATCAGAACATCTTCATTTATATGTGAATCGTGTAAGATAACACTGCATACCAGTGCCATTTCCATGGTATCCAGATCCCTGAACAGCATTCGTGATGGCCATGATAAGTTTCATGTTTTTCTGCCATTACTTTAGCTCAGGAGTCCTGGGAAGTCTCTTTTAACTAAGTTGTTTTCTCTTTTTTTTCCTCCTGACTCACTTTTCCCCCCAGTCTCTTTTCTCTCTTATTATACCTAACAGCTTGTACTTGTTTTATAGCTCAGCTGGCATGGCTTCTTCCAATTAAAAATATATTCTACACAGTAGTTGATATCTGTCTTCGCATGAATATCCTGCAGCAATCATTTAAAAAATTAATGACCAAATATCTTCTTGGCAAGAAGCTCTGCCCCTCCAGAGGACACGAAGCTTTCCCAAGGAATGGGAGCTTGCAGAGGAAACACGTTTCCATTTTCTCAAACAAAACATTTCTGCTATGTCTGTGAGTGTCAGAGCTCATCTGATTTATATGTAAAAAGAAACAAATACAGCTCATTCCCTTCTGCATTCTTTTTTCCCCCCAAATAATATTTTGTATCATATCGGTGCTTTTTTTCTAGGTCTCTTTGAGCCAATTCTCTTGCTCTGTTTTAATGGTATTTGTTTGTACAGAATAATAGTTGTTACACCTCAGTGTTTATATAGACAAGCTCTAAATGTCTCTGCAGACAATTTCTGTGGAACCCTTCCTTAGCAGCTGTACTGACCCTCAAACCTGCAGCCATAAACACCCATGTGTGAGGTGAGGCTCCAGATGGAGCTGCCTTCCAGATCTGTAGTATTTGTAAGTTTGGGCTAACTATTGCCCTACAAAGAGACCAGGCTTTCTTTGGCATATTATGAAATGTCAGATCTGAAGGAGGATGCAGTCCTGCTTGGTATTATAGATAGAAATTTGCTTGACTCATTTCAAAGCAGAAACTTTTCTCAGGCAGTAAATACTTCCCAGCTAATATCCCAAGCTGCTGTCAGTCTGCTGACATTAAACTTTGGTTTTGGGAATCTTGCCATCCAAAACAATCTGACGTCTTCCTTTGCTGCTAGGAATTAAGCTGATTAAGGAAATTAAAAACAAACAAAACCATTTTGATTCTGGGTTTACTGGACTTGCCCTGTGCAAGCCACCTGTGCTGCCTGTACTCTGCGAGCTGAAGTACAGCTGCCAATGGAGCAGCCCTGCTGAGATGCAGAGTGCTGGGCTTCTCTGTGCTGTACCAGAGTGGGTGTGCTGGGCAGAACAGACGTCTTGGGGAATGAAATTTACACATTTAGAAAAGTTATTGGGTTGTTTTTTTTTTGTCTTCTTCAGTTTCTCCCCTTACAGCTGTGCAAAATCAGTCAAGTGCTGCTGAGCTGCACGTGGAACGTGATGGCTGGAGGGAGAGATGGAAGTGACAGACACTATTTCAAGATCAGTTTGTATATTTTTATGTTAAAAGATCGTTGGCGTATATAAAGAGAGGGCATTGATATGGAGGGCAGAGCTCACACTGCTTCTGTTTAGGACAGAGCTGTGGGCTGAGGAGCTGGCACCCATAGGGGCTCATTCCTAGGGACACAGTGGCTGCTCATGGTTTTTGTAGTCCTTGGGGCATTTTGCTTCCCCAAAACACTGCTAGGAAGCAGTTTCTAGGGGTTATCAGCTGAGGACAAAAAGAAACACAGAATGTGAGCTGAGGAGCCTCATTTCTCCATAAGAAGAGTTAAAAAAAAAAAAAAAAAAAAGATAACAGTCTCCTGGGAAAGACATCTACAGTCCAGGGAGAGAAATTGGTGAGTTCAGTGGATTTGATTCCTTAACTGTGAAATAAACGTATTACTTTCTTCCTTGCATCTTCTTATTTATTGTTCTTGACAGCCTTTTCTCTTCTGTTTGAGTTGGCACATTTCAATAGATGGCACTAAAAATCCTAATGCTGAGCCCTTCTCCATCATTTCCATTATCATCGTGAGTCTTCCAGTACAATCTCTCCCTTCTGAAGATCAAACAAGCAGTGCAGCCAATGGGCAGACTCCTAATGCACATCCTTTAAAGCAAACTATTCCCTCATTGGCTTTTGCTATGAAAGCCACTCTGTGAGCAATTTCTCTGGGACAAATTCTCCCGAGGGGAGGTAATCTGTGCGCTTCTGTTGATGTCAAAGGAGATGCACTAAATTACACCACTTCACTATCTAATTTTCTGTGGTTTTCTTGACACGGTGCTAGCAAACTGTATCAACAAAATGTGTTCAATAGTGTAAGCTAAATTGAGTGCCAGCAGATCCCTGAATCCTTTGCAAACTCCATCCTGTGCATTCTGTGCCTGCATTGCTTGGGGGAACGGGTTCTGAAGATCAGAGCGGGCAGCAAAACCGAGTTCCTTCCTCTTTCCTCCTATTGAAAAAGAACAATTTTCCTGCCAGGCTATTTGTTTCCCTTATTTTCTGACCCTATCTGATTTTATTCCACCTTGGTAAAATGCACGCTTCTAGTTTCATTCAAACGCAATTGAAAGTCTGCGACCATTGCATAGGTCAGCAGAGTGCCTCAAAAGTTGTTTATTTCCTAAAACTGCACAAAATGTATCAGGTAACTTAGCTAAAAACACAAAAAGGAGGTGTTTGGTTTTTTTTTTCTTTCTAGACATGAGCTGAAATGTAATAAGAAACCAAGAATTTAATTTACTTTGCTACGAGCTTTAGGGCTTTGAGTACCTGCCATAAAGGTGTCAATGTCTGTACGTGCACAAGGTGATTTTTTGGTCTTAGTCCACAAAAACTCTTTTTATGAATGTTTTGGGCACACATATAAATTAGCAAGAGATTTTCTGGATAGATTTTGAATAACAATTGACACAAGAAAAGCCAAGCTCTTTGTGGGCTGTCCCCAGCTGTGACTGACGATGAAATTTACCAGCATATTGATGTTGTGAACAACTGACCTATGAAGGAGTAAAATGAGCTGGCAGGGTCTTAGCTTTACACTGATATAAATCTGGACTGAGTGTATTGGACTCGGTATAACTGTGGATTATTTGCAGACCTCCATCCAGTAGCAGCAGAAGCAAACTGCTGGACATGACTGCAGAACCTGCGCAGGAGCATCTCCAGCCCTGATGTGCACTCTGTGCTCAGGTCTGCAGCACTGAGCAAACAGAGGGTTTGGCTGGGTGAGAAATGCTGAATAAAGACCTGAAATGCCAATGCTGTCAGCAGAGCTGAACGTTTGTACCCCCACACACAGGCGGACATCCTGCTGACTTCATTTTGTAAATCACCTCTAAGATTCACACACAATTTCTAAATTCCATTTCCAGTCGTCAAAGCACTATTATTTATTTATTCATTGTTGTTTTGTAGCAGAATGCCAGGGAAATTAAGTACCAAAAATATGAGCAGACAAATATTTTTTCCTGGTATCCTTTCAATAAGAAATACCCAAAGATGGGATGGTGTGATGAGAGCAAAGTTCGGAATAGGCAAACAGAGAGAAGAAGCTTAGGAAGCCAAGCAAGGTGCCAGAGGTGGAGCACACACACACATAGAGGTCTACAAAACAGATTAAAATGAAGCAAGGAAAATGCCAGCTTGGTTCTGCATCTGTATGACTTCATGGGCAAAAGCTTTTGTTTATTTTAGCCATTCCAGCCATGTACACATACATATTTCCATACACTTTATGTTTAAACAAACTGAGGGGAACTTTCTTTATAAAATAATTATTGAATCTTCTTAAGGCTCATTAAGCTCATTAGCCAGGTGAGCTGGTTTTGCATTTAGCCAGCAAACCAGTAAGCTAACTGTAGGTCCTGGGGCCAGCTGTGCAGGAGAGCAGTTAGCTGTAATTGGCTGTATACTTAATTACTAATGTGTTCACACAGCTGAAGTAACCTGTATGTACAGCAACGTGTGCACACCACTGGGATAAGAGCTCAGAAGTGAGCAGTGCTCAGCTGGGGGCTGTGCTGTGCAATCAGCCCCATGGCATGGGATGGCAAACAGGCTTAGTGTGTGCAGCTGCAGGCAGGGAGATGGGGAAGTTCTTTTCTGAACATTTGATTCAGCTTGCACCTATTCACATAGAGATGATGTCATTGTTCACAGCAAAAAGACACTGGAATAAATCTGGCTGAAATGACTGCAAAAATCCTGAGTTTTGGACAAGTGATGGAACTTTCAACGATGTCAAAAGTTTAGAATTCCAGTCAGAAGGTGTATCTATGCCATATGTATATTAGCTATGATTAGTACACAGCTGAAAGGCTATGGAGCAGCATGAGGTAAGGATGAGATGTTAAGGGGGAGATGTTGAAATAGCGTGGGATTATTTATACGTATGTATTTATTTACAAAACAGTGTGAAGCAGAATCTTGCTGTTTTCACACAGTTCTGCTTTGCAAGGGTTCTCCAGACAGGTGTTCCTGTGCGTGGGCATAAATCCTTTTATCTGCAGATCCAACTTCTACAAAAGAAATAATGTTATGATGCAAATCTTTGTTTCCTTTCTTGTTTCCTTTCCTTGTTTACAGCAAGTGGCTCTTCTCAGCTTGACTTTTCATTGTTGTTGGTGTCACTGGAAGAAAAAGATATCAATGCATTCCTAGAAAACAGTGCAATTTCTTTTTTAACTCCATAGAATTTGGCAGAAGACTGTATTTATTGTTGGCGAGGGGGACTTTGGTGCTGCTCTATGGCTTTTTGAAGGTGCGGGCAGTGCTGGTGGCAGCAGCACCAGTTGGGTCTGGCAGCTCCGGGCAGGGGTTGCTGTGGACAAGAAGTGAATGAAGATTGCTCGTAGTGGTTGACACGCTCTGGTTGACAGGCTCTGTGTGCCCCAGCTGGGCAGCGCCGGGTCGGGGTGCAGTGCCAAAACAAAACTGCCAAGCAACTCACAGGTCTGTGCCCTGGGAGACTCCTGCAGGTTGAGATGCTGCCTCCCAACCAGGCTGCAACTCCAACCCCCGCCTCCTTTTAACAAGAGACGCTGCACTGATCTGTTGCTTTCCCTTCGGCTTTGCAGCTGCCGTAAAAGTTGCCTGGGTGGACGAGTGTGTGCGTCTATAGGGGGCAATTCCGAGAGGAATGTCCATCCTAATGGAGCCCAGCTAGGTGAGGGATGGGCAGGCTTGTTGTGACTTAACTCTTTGGGATCGTGGCAGAGAGAGAGAGGCAGAGACAGCCGGAGCCCGCAGCTGTACCGGACCCGGATCAGACGGTGGGGTGAGCGCCCGCATCTCCAGCTCAAAGCAGGGACACAGAAGCAGAAATCATGGCAACGTGGAGTAGTTTTATTTCTTCGCCACCTGTCTCTCATCAATAATTCACCTGAGGGTTTTTTTTTTTCTTCTCCCCTTTTTTCCCCTCTACCCACCACTCTCCTCATTACTCTTTTTTTTTGATGTGGAGAGGGTGGGAGAAAAGGGTGCACCGGAAAGTGTTTATTTTGTTCGGCTGCTTTTATA